GATATCCGCGCTACTTACGATGAGGATTCTGATGTACCTACAAGTTATTTTGGATTGGATCCTGGAGCAATGAAGACAAAAACTCCTTTTAATATAACCAAACTCCCTCACAATTCAACACTTATTTCGTTTATCGCTTCCCATGAGACTGAATTCAGGAAGAATTTTGTTCCAAGTCTTATGGAACATATTCCTGTCGCATCCTTCGGTGGTGTAAGTCATAACACTGATTGGAATACTCATCCTGATTGCGAGAATTTAGACTTCTTTGAATCAAAGAATTGTGTTCTTTCTAAATATCCTTTTTATCTTGCGATTGAAAATTGTCAAGAAAAAGATTACTCCACTGAAAAATTTTGGATTGCGTTCGATTTGGGTATCGTGCCTATTATATGGGGTGCGCCTAATACTCGATCATATTTACCACATCCTAAATCTGCTATTTTTATTGAAGACTTTCAAGACACTAAGGCACTTGCAGATTATTTGAAATATTTAGCTAAAAATGAGACTGCGTATATGGAATATCATAAGTGGCGGACTATGAAGTTATCTGATGGGTTTAAGATGAAATCGTACATGAGTTATTTAAATTTTGAATGCAATGTTTGTAGAGAAGTTGCTAGGCTAAAGATTGTTGAAGGGTATAATACGTGATTTATAAATTATTTCTTGTAAACTGTAATAGAAATATAAACTTTTGTATAAACAAAATGATTCTTAATAGAGGGTATATAATTAACTAGCAATACCACATGTGGCGGCCTACTGTCACCCGCTTACATTTTTTGATTTTAAATTTGATTCATTATATTATAATAAATTTGAGTCTAATGTGTAATAGCTGTAACAGATTGAGTTTAATTTCATAAAGCAATAAAGTGTATCGATTAATAATGACATCTTTATACAAATAAATTACAAAGTGGGATCTGTGCTAGGAAAATGATCATCCGAGGTTATGTGGATTTTATGAATAAAATTCGAATTTGCCAGCGAACTAATAGTCTAATTTAAACGAACTTTTTTATTTCGTAGAGCTCATTAAACTCTACAGAATAAAAAAAAGTTCATTCGAATAAGACATCGGATAGCCGACAAATTTGAATTTTGTTCATCAAATCTCATAGCCTCGGAGGGTCATTTTCGTTGCAAAGATCTCATATGATTCATTTACAGTATTAATTTATGATAAAAATCAAATTATTTATGATGAAAGATCAAATTAACTTTATTGTTCCAAATAACAATAGATTATAATAAGTATTTAAGTTTTACTAATTCTAACTTAAAAAAAGAGCCACTAAAAAAGATCTAAAAAAATTCACAAAAAGGTTGATTCAAATTTAACATTATCCAATTTTAGCATTATAAATAATATATATTTAACTAGAAAATGAAAATTTTGGCAATTTAATATTTCTTAAATTTTGACTTCAAATAATATTTAATTATTGCATAGTATTTATAGTATTCAAGACAAAATCAATAAAGACAATACCATGGAATGAACTAAACAACTTTTAATACTCGATGAAGGTCATTTTGGTACGTCAAGCTTATTAAATATTCAAGCATTATAAATTACTAATAATGATAAATAGTTATTTTGTTTCATTTTATACGGTTTAGGATTAGTAAGAAAGTCTTATTGGACAAGGACACATAGTAATGTTGTTTGTAAAGCATTAATAAATCTGAAAGATATAATAAGTACCAGTTCTGGTTGCTTTGTTTTTTTTTCTTGCATTATTTTTTTATTCTAAAAACGGTGAACACTACACTGCGTCTATTCATGAATTAACAAAGTATACCAGGTCAGATCTTTGTGAAAATATCGTTCGATTTTTAGGAGTCAGTGAAAATATTTTTATTTGCCAATTATTTAGTTGTATATTTAAATTGATTGATTATATTATACGTAGATACTGTTAATGACCGATATTTCCTTATCATGGAATATGCAAATGATGGGAATTTACGGAAGTTTCCCAAAGAAAATAATCATTCATTGAATTGGGATCAAAGGTTAGAGCTGGCCTGTCAAATTACAAAAGGATTATGTTATTTGCATAGTGAAGAAATTATTCACAGAGACTTGGTAAGGTAGTCATCAACATAATCATGCGCTGAACGGGTCGAGTTCGGGTCAGATTTAAAACTCTAGGACTAAATCTTCAATCAGACTTGAACCTAATTCAAAAAACCTGAAATTCCAAATCTTCAACATTTCTTCATTCGTCTTTAGAGCAATGAAGTGTAACTAAAAAAAACGGTGTTTATTTAACCACTTAACCCGACGTAAAGGCTTCAGGCTGGCCCGGAGCGATTGGTATACAGCTAATATTTAAACTTAAGTCTTTTGACTAACAAAAAATTTTGATAGCATGATAAAAACATTGTTATCCATGATAGAAAAGCAAAAATAGCTGATTTTGAAATGTTACAAGTATTTATACACAGACAAATATACACAATGAGTTTTTTGGAATGATTCCATTTTTAGCTCCTGAAATACTTGAACAACACGCATCAAATAATATACCATATTGCAAGAAAACAGATATTTATAGCCTTGGCATGATATTTTGGGAATTATCTAGTGGTCGTCCACCATTCGAAAATTACCCAAATTATAATGGTTTATCAGTCAATATTGTTCAAGGTGTTAGAGAAGATACGATTTCTGGAACTCCTGAA